TTGTTCCATCCGATGTGATAAATTATGCTCTTTACTCCAGGGGACCCATATAATTTTTCGTGAACGGCGGAAGCAGCGGTTCATCGCCGGTTTGGGTAAAAAAAATCCTTGAGCGGCGGAATTTTTACCGAATCCCCTCTTTCCTCCTCTTTTTCTCTTCTCTTCGAATCACAGTGAAGCTAATTCCAATAAAGATACATTCATTTACTTCTTCAGTGTTTAAGAGGACATCAATTATCTCCAATTTATATTCTTCATATTCAAAACTAAAAAGTACACAAATTAGTTCATCCTAAGTCTCGCAAGCAATATGGGATGGTTCTGGGCTGATTCTCCTGCAACTGCTGCTGCGGCGTCGGGTATGAGAAATGCTCCTCACGCCTTGCCCAAGGATAGCAATGCCACTCCGCCTGTGAGTAGATAAATCTCTGTTCTTACTCAGTCATTTTGTGATTCTGATTTCCGCTCGCCAGCCATCATGTCCTATGCACAAACCCAGCGCAGATGCTCTGAAGCCTGTGGCAAAACCTCCAACATCATCACCCGAATCCGCCTGCCCATACACGCCCGACAACGTCTCTCAAGAATCTAAAGCGACGTCTAAATACTCCAAATACAACCCTTTGAACTACATGTTCCCGGACTTATCTCAAGAGAGAGCGAAGGATCAGACTATAGCATTGCCAACTGAAAGAGAGCCATCTACGATACCTAAAGGCACTGGGGATGGTAACTGGGAGTATCCTTCGCCACAACAAATGTACAATGCTCTTCTGCGCAAAGGATATACTGATACGGATGCGACTGCCGTTGAGAGTATGGTATCAGTTCACAATTTCTTGAATGAGGGTGCTTGGGCTGAAATTGTAGAATGGGAACGAAGATTTGGTAAAGGGTTGTTGAAGGGCTGGGAGAATTGCAGGAGAGGAGAAGAGGGTTCCAAGGCAGGAGCAGAGATTGGTGCAAATGAAGATGAAGTGCCCCAGCCCAAGTTAGTTCGATTCATGGGCAGACCGAAGGAGATGACACCAAAGGCTGCGATGATTCAAGCCATGGGTTGGGCTTTTCCGGAAAAATATGGGTATGTAGTTTTGCGATTTGTTTCAATGCCTCAACTTGGCTAACCATGATTATAGCACTGAGCCACCATTCGATCGACACGATTGGTTTGTCCAAAGAGAATACAATGGCCAGAAGAAGGAAGTTAGATACATCATCGATTATTATTCGGGGGGCGAAGAACCCACTGGAGAACCCATATTCTATCTGGATGTTCGACCCGCCCTCACTCCGACGCAAGCTGTAGAGCGCATGATGCGATGGAGTGGTGACGTTTGGTATCGCGCATCAGGTGCTTCCGTTAGAGAGAACATCAAAAAGAATTAGGAATTTGTCTATTTCTTGAGACATGATATGGCGTTTTGCAGCGGTTTTTAAGCAATACGCTTCGGGTTGGGTTAGGGTTTGGTATCTATGTTTATGATCTGATTGGATCAATGACTTGTGGTTATGCATGTGGAATGGTCCCTGGGTAGGAATTACAGTTTACGCCTCTCTTCTCTTGTAGTTATTGATACCTAAATAATGACATTTCTTATTCACGACGTCAGAGTTATTAAACTTTCGCGTATAGCTTATGGACAGCTTATCGCAGTGCGAGATCTCTAGAAGGTGGAGCCAGCCGAATCATGATAAGAGCTCCTTCAAATCCCCCACTATTCATACATTATTGTTCCCTCTTCCGAATGGTTTGAAAGACTAAGACAGCCAATATGGCGGAACCCTTTGTATCAATCAGGAAACATATAAAATGGGGAGCAAGTATTTATAATATTTCTACAATCCTACCTCAGATAGGCTAACAACTATTGCAGGATAGAGCAGCAAAAGAAAATACAAAGTGCATATCTTGAGCTGTTATCGACAGCCCTAACATGCTAACACACACTTAGCACTCTTGTCCTAACGTCTGCCGATAAACACTATGTAGACATTCGAATCCTTGACCCATCCCATCCACTCCCAAACAGTACCACCGACCCTCAAGCAATCTTGAGGTTGGAGTGGGGTTTTGCGGGAACTGCAATCAGCACTCCCGCAGTTTTCAAAGATGGTGACAAAAGCATCTTGATCAAGCCGGCACATACACAGTGGGTTCATGAAATAGATAATAAGATACGAAATCCTGGACCGAATGATCGTGATGAGGGTTACATGTATCCTGTGGAGGGCACAAACGAAGTTCTAGAGAAGGGTGCTATGGTAAATTCCGACACCGGGAAAGTGGAAGACTATGAAGAATTATGGGAGGATCTCGAGGTTGGAATGATGGAAGGGGAGAAGAGCGATTATTTTATGAGTTGGGTGCTGAAGACGAAAGATGCTGGTGAGGTGAACGGAATGGTAATTAGAATTGGCGAGTGGGTACAGGGGGTCATGAGAAAGGGGGATGACTTCTCAGTTGTTAGGTGGAAATGGACTATCGAAGAAGGATGGAAAAGAGTGTTGGCGATCGGTGAAGATTTCGGACTAGATAGCAAGGTCTTTGAGAGAGAGATATCTGTGGGTGACAGCATCAAGGTTGACAGCGGCGTGGAGTGGGAATTCAAAAGCTGTCACAAGCACAGGAAGTAAGCAAGGGAGCTGGAGAGCCAAGTAGTCAATTTCAAATCTTTTTGATTGATATTATGATTTCCCATGGAAGAATGGTATTTCATTTTGCCCTCTCGTTGTGGCCAATGAGCTACTACCTTGGAATCTGCTCCGCGTTTGCATATTTACATTCCTGTTGAGGAATGTTAATATCTCTTCTCAGAATCTATAAGTATAGGATTTAGCTTCAAAGCAAACAATTGATTCTTACGGCAATACATGTCTCTTATTTCCATTGCATTCAATTCTGTCTGTCGTTTATTTATCTTGAATTTGTAAGTAACTATGCCCTGGTTATCACGCAACAGCAGTTCCGTGAATTCCATTGGAGACATGATGGCAGTCCCATCAGCACCTATTGCCCCGGCAAAGATATCGCCATCCTCTTCAATGGTTGTCACAGTCATTCCTTCGATCATCGATCCTACATGCGGGACATCACCCGCTCAATATCGCCATTCAACAATGGAAGTCCTCTGGAATTCCATGCAAATACTTTCTCGCAATTTGTACTGCATTCCCCAGATGATGGGATCTTTCACTTTTAGTGTGGCCCAAACGATCCCTAAGAGCTCAGGGAGGGATATGTATGAAATGGGCATTCAGTGTATTTTATGTATTATGGAGTGTTGGGCAATGCTTATGATCATACCGGCATTCTTGACGATGCCTGGAGCGATGTTCATGATGTGTTGTGCAGCTATGTGGGGGGCTATGATGGGGATGGCATGGCTATTGAGAGGAAACGAGAGAATTTGTGAAAGTATAATGCCTGTTGGAGACTTTGGGGACGAGAAATGGATTTTTGTTAATGGTAGTTGTACCAGGTAGGCAGATCACCCCCTAGGAAAGGAGTATTTGTGCACATCGCTCATATTGGAATAGCTACACTCAAATGATGCATCACCTCACTCGACTGAGTATCATTTTCCACCGTCGCATGACCGGAATCCACAATCGCACCTTGGGGCTCCCTCTTGACCTTCTCCTCCACTTCCTTTCGATTACCATGCCCATCCACCGAACTATGTACTCGCAACTTCGCGAAACTCTTTTGACACCCAGTATCCAAAAAGTTGTCATTCTATCACATTCAACCGGCTCCAAGATCGTCTCTGATATTCTTGATCAACTACATGCCGATCTCCCAGCTAGTTTAATGGCGAAATTGGAGATCTATACTTTCGGAGCTGCAGGTGGCTCTTTCTCGAATCCGCTGGTCAATTCGCTATGTATGGATCTTGGCGCTCTTGGAGAAAACGAAAATAACAATATGAAAGCTTCTTATGAACGCGTAATACCTGTGAGTATCTTCATATCATTCTATTTAAATACCCATCTCATCGTGGTAATAGCACATTGAACATTACCTTCCTCTTACATCTTCGCCACTATCTACTATGTCAATCTTGCATCCGGTCTTGCATACTCTAGATTCTCGATTCTGTGGCAGAATGTTCATCTTAAATGGGTTTCACCCAGTCTTGTTCGAGCAATACTTGGATATGATGTTCACTTGGCGCAAGTCCGTCAATTCCGTTGATGGGTCTGAAACTCGAGGATTCTGGGATGAAATGGTCCGTGTTGATGGAGAGACAGCTGAAAAGAGAGAATTTACCGCGGGTGCAAGAGGTGCAGCTGGTATGGGAAAGGGAGAGAGGAGATGGAGTGGGATGATGCAGATGGAGAAGGAGGGAAAGAGAAGACCGGGTGGTTGGAGCTGGTCGAAGATGGGGATGGATGGTGTGGGAATGGCGAGGAGGGAGGCGAAGGCTTTGGAGGGAAAGAGAATGAGAGAGGTGGGGAGGTTGGGTGGTTACGAGGGTGGCGAAAGACTAAGTGTGGGCTGGTTTGAGGGAAAGGGAATGATGGGGTTAGAGAAGAGGATGGTGAATGGCGGCCAGTGAAATTGGGGATAAGTGATGGTCTAGGGACTGTTAGCGGAATTGAGAGCGGTCTTGAGGGTGGGGATGAAGTGGCAGTTGATAATTCTGGGGATTCTCGCAATTTTAGGATAGATACCAATGGAGGCAGCTCGATTTCTGAGAACAAGGAAAAAGAAACCGACGTCGATTTGGATATGTTAGTAGCAGTATGGTTTTAACGAGGTCTGTTCTTACTTATAACTTTTTAATACTACGGAAATATGTATTTGAACTTTTGTTTTCCGATCGCACTATATTGAACCTAGCATGCTCCGATTTTTTATTTGAAAATATCGGGCTTTTTGCAGTGTCAGATCAAGATGTAGCTGAAATTCAGGATGATTGAACTGGAGGATGTAGAATTTCTACGCCACTACCCCGAAAAGACATCGTGAGAAAATACAAGCATCATTATCCTGGTTCTCAAATGAGACCTTTTACTAGGTGCTGCTTTGACTTCACTGTCATGTCTGTAGATTTCATAATTTGAACGCCATTGCGGTGGTTGCGTTTGAGTTCCGGGTTTGAACGGCTACTTTTATGAGTACGCGGACCGGCTTGGCTATTATGCCCTTCGGAACCCGCACTAAGATTCTCTTGAGTCAGCGGCATTATAGGATGCTCTTGTTTGGTTGAAGCCTGAGGGGCGTGCTACTCTGTAGATTTTTGTGTTTTGGGCGCTGTAGATGAGGTCTTTTCCTGTTTCACAGGAGGTACTTTGTTGTATTCCTTGCAGAAACTACAGTTTCTCCGCAAATGCCTGGGTGATTCTCCACTCCTGGTTCTTTTCCTCTTGTTGAAATTAGAAGGTTGTCTATGTATAGCCCGTCGTGGAGGCTGTGTTGATTCAAAGCAATGTTCATGAATAATACCATGAGTAGCATGTTTGATGTACGTTGCATGATCTTTTTCGTCTCCTTAGATACATGGAGGTGTTCAAAGGTCCTTCTAAAATCAACAATCTGTCGTCCCTTAAAGATCCCAAATTCTTCGGAAACTACAAGCTAGTCCTTGTCGAGTATGCCCTGTTCATTGTCTTCTTCTGTATTGTGCAACTTTCTGACGATCAAAAAGTGTACCTGATAGTAACAGTATATCGTGCTCGCTGGTAATCGTGTGTTAACCAAGATGCTTTAGGCTTTGAGTAGCCTCAATCGCCTTGCTATCTCCAGACTTTCTAAATTTAGGCACACTGCTTTTCAGATTCGGGATTTCGATATACTATCCGACTCAGACGAAGCCGGGGACGAGAGGGTATGTTTTAGTGTAAACTCTGAATTCATCTTCGGAACTAAAAGTGTCTAGAGGAAGTGAAGACACGGTCTAAGAATGTGCTATCTGGCCTGCAAGTTAGCTGCCTTTGTTTTGAATATTTTCTACAGCATACATTATGAGATATTAGATATCTTTGTCAAATGGTTATCTGTCGCTACAATGAAAGATTTATGTAACAGGTTTACCTGGAGCCTACCTTACCATAACATCTGTATTTAATGGGCTATGTCTTTTGGTGCTCTTGTTGCTGTTGGCGTACGCGACCTAAGTCCCAAGAGAACCAATCATAGAAAACGTATTCAGCGACTTAGTTACCTTGAAGCATATGACGGGCCGGCTGATCAGGTCTCTTACTCTATCTTTTCTCTTTGTGTTATGTGGATATCGAATCTGTTTGTACGTTCATGTTCATTTGCCAAAGGCTCTAACATCGGAAAGCCAGGAACTCTGACGGGTAATCGGCTGACCTAAATCGATTGGGAAGTCCCAGATAAGGTGTTCCTTCAGGAATGCAGTCCTGTTTGTTAGTTCGAGGATTGAGTAAGACATTGTTTGGTTGATGAAAGTAGTGTGGGCGTGCCGATGGCCCCCAAGAGTGGACCTATGAGCATTGCTCCATCAAAGTAATGGTTTTCCTTCTAGCCTTTTCACGATTCATTCCTCAACCTCCAGTCTAAAAATTCAGAATAGCGAAGTAATGTTCAATTAGTTTCCCGGATTTACATCTAAATGTCTTTCTTGAGCTTTCAGAGTGGTTTTGTTCCCTATAAACATGCACGTCGCTCGAATATCGCGTCTTTGCATCGATAAATTTTCACGAAGGTCAATCCAAATTCAAGTATCACACAATTTTATCAGGTCCTTCCTTTTTAATACCACTGCACTGAGTGAAATGCTCGAACTGTCGTTCTGCTACAAGTTCATGTCTTCAAGTGAAATCACACCACAGAACCTTTTTACGCCGACGCACGACGTGTGATCAAAAACGAAAAGCATGTACGTAGCGGGTGTGCTTCCGACCTCGTAAACTAAATTACATAAAAGGTGAACTGCAGTAGATTGTATTGTTATCAAGGAGCCAGCAATTTGGCCTGCGTAGGATTGTATCGCTATGGCATTTGCGTATTGAAATAAGCGCCGACCACTAGGCCTACAATACCTACAGGGCTGAATAACAAAGACCATCAAACTGTACGCAGCTAGGCCAGTCAAGGATGGCGGAGGCTGTTATTGTTGTTGATTGAAGACTTATACAAATGTTTTCACAGTATTGAAGGAAAGGTCTGTTTCATTGAATTGAGAACACTAATCACTCGTGGAACAGCGATCAGAAAACCGCCATATTTGCAAACTAGATCTCATATTATTCTTGGATCAATCAATCCACCATCTACTCAAACATGGGCTTAAGGGGTAGGAGACACCGCTCGTAAGTTTACCACTTTCTACATACACCAACACGCAAGTTCCGCTAACCACTAGTCATTTTATCAAGGAAATCTGGTGAAAAGAAAGATAAATACAGAGAATATAGTGTCTACGCCAGCGAGTGTATGCTTCTACCTGGCTACATAGAGCAATCAATCACACTCGATGAGGGTACCAATGAAACGGGTAGGGACATTTGGAAACGCTCGATCAGATTCGAAGTAGATCCGAAATCAGTCCAGAGAGACAGTGAACATGGGCATACTTACCGTGGTTACTCACAATCACATCGACTGGGCAAAACAGCACCAGGAGAGTTGAAGTCTTTCAAGGGAATCGTTAGGAGTATACACGACAAAATGAAGGAAGCGATAAAAAATGGTCACCGCTTCGGAAAGCTTGAGTACATAAGTGCTGTCCTCGAAAAAGCACTCAGGAAGGGAAGTTTGCTTGTTCATCAATCTAAATTGGAAGTTCTCGAGAACCCATCTGGCCGCCGAACCTGGCAGGCTCAATTCATAAGACTTGGAGCCAGAGACACGGAGAGAAAGATAACGAAACGTGAGAAGAAGCACGAAAAACGAGAAGTTAGAAGAGATGAAAGACTAGATCGGATTAACAACTCTAGGGTTGCGAGAGGATTGGGAGTACAGCTAAGCAATAACGAGAAGAGGAGTCGAAAGCGGCACGATCGGATGAGACGCCCTTCACGGAGTGATGCTGAGTCTACGGGGTCGTGGGAAACTGGTTCAAGTGCTGACTCTTATTATTCAGACCCTTCTCATGGAAGGCGGCGCCGCAGTTCATCTCGTCACTACGATGGCTATACTAGTGGATATGACGAAGACGACTCTTCAGATGACGAATCTGATACCAGATCGTATGCATCTTCGGGGGTTTCGAAACCAAGCCGCTCCTCAAGCTATGGTTCCAGAAGCTCTGTCGCTTCGGGATCTGGTCGGTCAGACTCAGAATACGAGTCAAGACATAGAAGTGGTCGTTACAACAATTATCCGTATGATGATAGAGCGAATAATCCATATGCTTATAGATCGGATGATCCATATGCTTATAGGGCGAATGATCCATATGCTTACAGGGCGAATGATTCATATGCTTATAGAGCGGATGATCCGTATAGAAGCTCGTGAGGAATGGCAAACAACGAGAGGGAGAGTAGATAGCGGTGAAGGAAGCAGTTGGGAGAAAATGGTAAACAGGCTGTTCAGCATGTCCCACAGTTTTGGTACTGATCGGTCTGAGTTTTTTTATTGTTTCATTTTCTTTCTTACTATTGTTCATCATATGTATGATCTCTTCTTCACATTAATATACTTCATTACTTGGGAACATCTTATTTACCCATGTTTTTTCAAATATGTTATATCTACTTGTGCAAAAAGAGCTTGCAGTGTCATTGAAGGGCATTTCCCGTATCGAAAATCTACGCCCACAATCAGGTATTAACTTTTGACTTCAAACGAATAGGCATTATTACAATGGTGAATATCAGGAAAGGATCGTTAGCCCAATAATGCTGAACAGATCCCACGGGTCGACCGATCTCTTTGACAGATACAAAGCCGTGGCCGATAAGAGGGCTGGCCGGGGTGCTCGCTCACACAACCTTATAACCTTCACATGCGCGCTTGCAGTGTGTATAGAATCTGTATACTCAGCCCCAGGGCCACGCTTGTAAACTCACAATCCACCCGGCCGAGCACCACATAACACTTGGAAGGACCTTTTGTTTTGCGTTCTTCATTTCTTGATTGCCAACTTAATTTGGCTGTCAAAATAAGACACTTCAAAAACGTGAAACGAGCGTGTCATATCTCTCACAAATAGATAATGAGCAATCTATCTGGAAGACAACGTTGATACATTCAAGCTCCCACAAGACACTTCAATTCACATAGGGTACACTTGAGCCTAGACATAGATATTACATATACTGTAGTGTACCGGGACGCATTGTGCCGAAGTGTGCTGTAGAAGCCGTCATGAGCGAGTGTGTTTGTAGTTCCTCCTTCAGATAGGATGAAAAATATCTAAACCACTACCTGGTAGAGATAGAATCCAAATGGACCGACCATATGAAATGGAACAACGACGATGCGCGAGACCAGTTAATTTAATTTCAAATTCACGCCGCAATCAATCAGGTCCGTAGAAAAGGTAAATATATGATAAAATGAATGGTAAAGGCTTCAGAAGTTGTCAAGTGAGATCATGCTTCATTGAAGCGTTCATTCTCTTCCTATATGTTTGATACTTTGTATCGTTCATCACCAGCCTTGATAATTATTGAAAATTCAGAGGAAGAATTTTTTAAAAGTTGAAATGTATGGGCCAAAAATGATTAGCGTGGCGCTAAGCCTGTTTAGCTCTAAGTCATTCTTCACCCAGCGAAACGGTCCTCTCGAGAGTCGAGAGCCTCTCAGAAATTCCCTCTAGGTAATACGATGCGTATATGACAATAAAGATACCTACTAGGTAGGTAGTATTTCTATGTACATATTATATATATATGTTTATATATATGTAACTAGTATGTTAATGAGATACCTCTCACTCAAGTCCCACCATCATTTCTCATCAAACCCACCAGCCTGTGTAAATTCTTATATACAAGTAGTTTTAGCCGTCTAATGGTCCAATATCCTCTCCGATCATGCGCTTTTGTGTGTATGTCGGAGGGAATTTGAATCGCCATGATGGAACGACGGAGTGTGAAATATAGTGAAGCTTTCAAAGTCCATTCATCGACTCACACTATTAAAAATATTTGAATATACATGTATATTCGCTTTATATTCGCTTCCAACCACATCGTGAACGTGAATGTACGCATTGCTCGAATTGGGTAACTTCTTGCTGACTGTTCCAAGAATTCTTGCTTACCTAATGCGTCAAGCTCAAATTTCAGCCTCACCCATTCGTTCCTTTCTCTACCATTTCCTACAATCTACATCAATTGTTTCTCTGCATTAATAATTTACACTTGAAGACTTTGTTAGACTCGAGACAATAAGAAGCCACATTTCTTATTGTATAATTCTTCTTTCAAATACACTTTCCATCCAAAACTTCATCACAAATAACGCGACGATTATTATGGCTGACTTTCATTATGGAGGGACGGATGAGGAGTCTGCTGAGATCAAGAAGCTGAATGCTGAAGTTGTAGGTTTATCAATGTGCTTCTATCGATCGCGCGTTTGCTGATCGGTGCTCTATCTATAGCTCGAAAATACGGATAATTTTGAGAGTTGGGAGAAGCTTGTCCGCGCAGCGGAGACTCTGGAAGGAGGTTTAAATCGTAATTCAAGTCCACAAGCGATTGCGACAACTCGAGATTCTTACGATCGCTTCCTTGCGAAATTCCCCCTCCTGTTTGGATATTGGAAGAAATATGCAGATCTGGAATTCTCCATAGCTGGCACAGAAGCTGCTGAGATGGTAATCAAAGATAAACTGTAAGGCAATGAGTTACGTGCTGACATATTTTAGGTCTTCGAGAGAGGTATCGCCAGTATAGCAACATCTGTGGATTTATGGACGGATTATTGTTCCTTCAAGGTTGAGACAAGTCATGATCCTGATGTGATCAGAGAGTAAGTATACTAGATGCTTTCCTTCCCTTAACACAGCATCTGCAGCATGGTCATACAGCCACATGAGCTACGTTCGGAGTTTTCATGGCTCACAAACGGTGAGAAATGCCAAAAAAAGCTGCTCATGTTTGACTCTTCTCACCAACATGACCAGGATATCTTTCTGCTATCACAAGTTCGCTTTTGTCCCGTATCACTCTGCACACATTGTCGGCACGAGGAGGATATGAATATCATTGCATTTGTGCACACTGCCCTTCCCGTATTTGCACTCCTTGCCACCTTTCCATTCCTTCCCTTTTCAAAGTATGAGGCGCATCTAACATTTTATATTAGGCTTTTCGAGCGTGGAGCCGTTGCCGTGGGATTGGACTTTCTTGCCCATCCTTTCTGGGATAAATACCTGGAATTTGAAGATCGACTGGAAGCTCAAGACAAGATATTTGCTATTCTGAACCGAGTTGTGAAGATTCCTATGCATCAATATGCTAGATACTTTGAGCGTTTTCGCCAATTAGCTCACGCTCGTCCATTGCTAGAGCTTCTTCCGGCCGAAACACTCGAACAATTCCGTGCCGATGTTATTTCCGAAAGTACCGGCTTCCAGGCCGGTCCAAAGGGAGAATTGGAGATTGAACGTGACATTAGGACCAAGATCGACAATTTCCATCTTGAAATTTTCGCTCGTACACAAGCGGAAACCACAAAACGTTGGACGTACGAGTCTGAAATCAAGCGTCCTTATTTCCACGTCACCGAGCTCGATAATCAGCAACTTTCAAATTGGCGCAAATACTTGGACTTCGAAGAGGCTGAGGGTGATTATACCCGTGCTATTTTCTTATATGAAAGATGTCTAGTGACCTGCGCATTCTACGACGAGTTCTGGTTTCGCTACGCCCGGTGGATGTCATCAAAGGAGCGCAAGGAAGAAGAAGTCAGAAACATATATCAAAGAGCAAGCACAGTCTATGTGCCAATCAGCAAACCCGGGATTAGATTGCAATACGCCTATTTCGAGGAGGTATCTGGCCGCGTCGATGTTGCTAGGGATATTCATCAAGCCATTCTGGATCGCATGCCTGGTCATGTAGAGACCATAATTTCTTGGGCTAATCTTGAACGCCGCCACAAAGGCCTTGATGCCGCAATTGAAGTCTACAAAGCACAAATCGCTTCAACAGAATTAGACATTTATTCTAAAGCGGCTTTTGTTGTTGAGTGGGCCATTTTATTGTGGAAGATTCAAGGATCTGTCGATGAAGCTCGTCAAGTTTTCCAGAAGAATACACAATGGTATCCAGAGAGCCGTCATTTCTGGACAAAGTACATGGAATTTGAGTTAGCACAGCCAACTAACTCAGCCTCGGAATCCGAGCATCATGAAAGGCTCAAGCAAATTCATAGTGATATGATCAAGACATCCATGAGGTTGGATACAAAGAAGGAGATCAGTAATCTATACTTGATGTACCTAAGAGAAAGAGGTTCCAAGGAGACCATGAAGGAATTTTTACAGATTGATCGCGAGCTAAACGGGTAAGCATCCTTTTCCAGTACTATAGAGTACCATACTAACAGACGATAGACCTATATCAGTTCAACCCGACTATGTTAAAGCCACTGAGTTGGGAAAGGCGACGGCAAACGGAACCATTCCGGGTGTTGACTCGGCTTCTTTACTGAAAGGCGAAGTCAGATACACTACGTACTTTCAACAGCGCAAGCAACCACTAACTGTTGATCCGCAAGGCCTCGCATCTTTCCATTAGATCGTTGCATTGCCGCTTGTGAGAATCATCAGTGTCGTCGTCGGGTCTTAATAAGTTCGATCAGGCAGCGTGTACAATAGTATCCTTATCAGCCTTGCGATTGGTTCGGAATGAACTCATCGACCTTTTCTTTTCTTCTTTCTCCTTGAATGCTGGATAAATATAACTTAGGCAGCTTAATGATTAGAGGAGTGGCGGTTTTGGGAATACGTAAAGATTTGCCTACATGGTTTCCTTTTCTTCACATAGTTGTTGATAGATAAAAAGCAATTCTTCACCCATCTCTTAGGACAAGATGTATGCACCGTCGTGATTATCATTGATCGAAGTACCGTCTACCTCTGATTGACATACTCTATTCTCTACTATCTTCTAATATGCACTCCTCCATCTCAGTAAACATACCTGAAATTAGGATTCTCTCTATCCGTCAAATCATCAAAAGCGTGCACCATGTCTCTATCATTAGCCTCTCTAACTCCTGCCTCTGCCAACTCATCTCTCTTTCTGTTTTCCCTCATCAAGTGCCATCTGAGAAAGATTAATACTAGGAGCAGTAACGTATAACAGCCAAGATGGGTAGCGAATGCGATAAAATAGCGTGGCGCATCATTCTTCAGGAAAACTTGAGGACCAACTGCATTTCCTGCCGCCCAACTTATAAAGTTTGCAGCTACGACGATGGTTTTCTTAGTTTGACCAGCGACATTACGGGACATGAGAGTCAAGGAAAGGGTGGCAGTGGACCAGAAAGAGAGCGTT